CAACTTCTGGAAAAACAAGATCTCCAAGCATCACCGTCGTTTTACAAACATTGCAGCCAACCCACTAGGTATAATAACACTGGCCAATACACATGTTGGTGCCTCAAATGTTAGACATGCTTCTGGGTGTCTCTGACCTGCGGATTCCAAAAATGGCACCAATTTTCCCTTATGGACTCTAGTTTTTGAGATACAGAACATATCTCATGTACCAGTTGTCTTCTGCTCACCCATAGACAATCATGATAACCATAGAGCTGATGTGGTCTGTCCAATGCAATTTTCTATTTTTTTTTTCATGTCAGAAATGACTTGGGATAACTTCAAGTCACTTCTGCTGTGAGAGAATTGGCGGTCTGCAAGGACGTTGCCCAGGGGACGTAGAGATGTTTTACCATCCTGTGGGAGGCTTCTCTCATGTCCAATTTTCTGAATCAGAGCTCCAAATGAGCGGAGGAAGGAGCAACTTGAGATACCTGCAAGTAGCTTCTGGTGTGACAGAATTGGCCGTCTGCAAGGACGTTGACCAGGGGACACTGAGATGTTTTACCATCCTGTGGGAGGCTTCTCTCATGTCCCATTTTCTGAATCAGAACTCCAAATAAGCCAACACCAAGCGACTTGATATAACTGCAAGTAGCTTCTGGTGTGAGAGAATTGGCTGTCTGCAAGGACGTTGACCAGGGGACACTGAGATGTTTTACCATCCTGTGGGAGACTTCTCTCATGTCCCATTTTCTGAATCAGAACTCCAAATAAGCCAACACCAAGCGACCTGATATAACTGCAAGTTGCTTCTGGTGTGAGATAATTGGCTGTCTGCAAGGACGTTCCCCAGGGGACGCCGAGATGTTTTACCACCCTGTGGAAGGCTTCTCTCATGTCATAATTCCTGAATCAGAGCCCCAAATAAGCCGAGGAAGAGGCCTAAACGCCAAGACACCAAGATATTATGCGGTGTTATGCTGTGTGATCCAAGACAGACAGGAGAAGGTTGCAGAACCTGAAGCAACTGGACCGACCTTCTTGATGATAGTAGAACCATCTTGACCTCCACCTCTTCCTCCTCCACCACCATCACCCGCATCTTAATTTCCCTTTGTCTGCTCCAAAGGAGTGTAAGATCCCCATCTATCCACACACACACACACACACACACACACACGTACCCCTGATGTTCTCAGACCTGCCCCGCTTTACCCCAAAGCACAAGGATGCCGTTCTGGGCCACCACGGGTGAGGGATCCGGCCAGGCTGGTGCCTCTCTTGAAAGTCTTGGTCAGCTCGCTCTCCATCGTGTCTGCGTCTCGGAGACAAGCTGAAGTTGACTGCCAAAAGTGCCATAAACCTCCCCTCCCGCCCCCCACCCCGGTCGGTCTAGAAGTGTTTTTGGTGCTCCTAGACACCGCCAGGTTTAATGAGGGATGGAGAAGTCTCTCTCCGTCTCCCCCTCCACCCTTTTCCCTCATGCAAGTGCAAGAAAGTTGTTTGCTAGGCCAGAAGAGGCGGAGCGAGGCTGGGGAATGGTGGCGCCTTTGTTATCACGGGGAGATTGGGGGGGGGGGGTCTTGTGGGGGGGGGAGAGAGATATCCTTGAGAAATGTCTCCCTAATGTGGTGGGGKGAGGAGAAGGAAGGGAAAGGGACCCCACACATTCTCTTCGTAGGAAGAGCCAGGAGGAGGAGAGGCAGGGGCAGCCAAGTGGGGGAAATGATGCTCAGGTATAATCTTGTTTTATACGGGACAGAGGGGAAATAAAACGCAAACGGCGTCCGTTAGCGCCAATTTGGCAACGGGCCACTGTGGCATATTTCTGCACCCTCCCACCAACACCACCGATCCTTACACTGGGGCTGAATTGGAAGGGGGGGGGGTCTGGAAGAGAGGGAAAAAGAAATAAAACCATTTTATAGTCCCACACAGACCCGGGCAATCTGTAAGTAGTCGTTTGATGACATGCTTATCTCTTATTTTCATCGACTCTCTTGGCAAATACGACAGGGAAAGAGATTAATTAATAATTTCAAGTTCAGCTCACAAACGTTGAAGGCCCATAAAAGTTCTTCCAGCGATCCAAAATAAAGAGTTCATTAAAGGGATGTGTCCAAAGCGTTTGATTTGTGATTGGTAACCCTTGTAAAAGAAAAGAAAAATAGGAGAAAAAGAAAAGAAAAAAAAGAAAGGCCGGGTGGAGGGAACGTTACAAAAAAGGCGTATAAACATTAATGCTAATAAATTAGTTTACTCCACTACACAGTAATTACGAGATAATACTGATATTTACAACAGGGTCTAGTTAAATCGAACGCAGAGAAAATACATAATGAGGACATTTCTCCCCCTCCTCCAGGAGCCAACATGATTAGATTTGTTATTGAGTCAGTCACGGTGAGTTCAGCAATAAATAAACAAATCGATCCTGACATTTAAATCCCGAGGATCTCCAGAATAAAATATACAGTAGGACTTTGAGCCCCTGGAATGTAAAAGCAGATTTCCATTTCGAGAAAGAAAGCAAAGCAACAACAATGCCATTTGTGAAAGGCCTCCCGCCCCGCCCTCGGAGAAGGCCAAGTTTTCTCTCTGTTCAAAGTGACCACCTCCACGCCAAGCCTTGGGTTGAAATCTCTGAGATTTTCAGTAAGGCTTTCAGAGAAAGTTGCCTTTTCTTTCCCTTAACTTTCCCTTTTCTGCTTTCCGAGGTCCCCTTATAAATACACTCACCCAAAAGCATGTATTTGGGGCCCCTTCCACACAGCTGAATAAAACCCCACATTATCTGCTTTGAACTGGAATATATGGTAGTGTGAACTCAGATGACCCAGGGCCCTTCCACACAGCCACATAACGCAGAATATCAAGGCAGAAAATCCCACAGTATCTGCTTTGAACTGGGTGGTCTGAGTCCACACTGCCATATATTCCAGGTCAAAACAGATAATGTGGGGTTTTATTCAGCTGTGTGGAAGGGGCCCCAGTTCAAAGCAGATATTGTGGGATTTTCTGCCTTGATATTCTGGATTACATGGCTGTGTGGAAGAGTCCTGGATCCTTTTGGGTAAAGGTACAAAGCATTTGATTCTACGATTTGCTCTTGGCAGTTTTTTTTAGTTCTGTCTTGGATGAACATGTATAATTGTTGGGTTGTTGTAGGTTTTTCGGGCTATATGGCCATATTCTAGAAGCATTCTCTCCTGACATTTCTCCTGCATCCTCAGAGGTCTGTATAATTGCTGCTATTATTACTTATCATACTACTTCTATTTGTGCAGAGCTGCCTAGGCAGGCTTCCTCTGAGGGCCCTTCCACACAGCCATATATCCCAGAATATCAAGGCAGAAAAGCTCACAATATCTGCTTTGAACTGGGTTATCTGAGTCCACACTGCCATACATTCCAATTCAAAGCAGATAATGTGGGATTTTCTGCCTTGATATTCTGGGATATATGGACGTGTGGAAGGGCCCTGAGATAAGTATTGTCCGTTATATTATCATCATCATCATCATTATTATTTTGCTGGGTCTCACTCTCATGTGAATGCATTGCATTTGGAAACCTTATCATTTCCTAATGCAGGGCTTCTTACCCCTTTTCCATTCGTGGAGAAATTTATACCAAGTACATAGGTATATAAATCAGGCATAGACTCAAACATTTACTGATTTTTTTTTTTAAAAAAACAGCATTTGCAAAGCTTACTAAACAGGCAGATTTTCCTTTTAGTAGAGTACAACTGAAGCATTTTCTGCAGAGTCTACTGTACTGCTAATAGATGTATGTAAATGAGTGACATTAGGAAATCTTTTGTTGTTGCCAAATGTTTAGTGAACCCCCAACATTGAGCCAAGGGGATCCCATTTGGGGTTCAGACCCAGAGTTTAAGAAGCAGTGTCCTAAAGTAGGTCTTTCTGCAGGTTGTCTGGTAAGGGTCGGTCATTTTGTGATGATTTCTATATTTCTGCCTGCACTGGCTACCTCTAGTTCAAAGCACTAATGCTTCCCAGGAGTTCTTTGCAAGCAATGGCACTTACTTCCGAGTAGCACTTTTCGGAATGGCTTGAGAGGGGCTTCGGACCCATCCAACCTGGCTAGGGTTGCTTTGCTGTTCCAGGAGCGTTTGCTCGGTTACTCTATCCCTTCTTAACCCTGATATCTTGCAATCCCAACTATGTTCTGGCATTGGAAAGAATAATAAATTAAAGCAACTGGAGAGGCTGTGGGAAGGGCGTTGAGAGGGATGGTGGCGCAAAGAGGGGAAAAAACTGTAATATCGTAAAATGCCTGGAAGCGAGGCTGGACAAGAGCCCTGGAGCTACCTGAGGCGATTGTGTAGATTGAGAGGAAGGAAGGAAAGGCACTGACCGCCTTCGGAAGTGAACCTGAAGGCGAGCGTGTCCTCCATTCAGCCGGAGAAGCCAGGCAGACTTGACCCTGGCGGCTTCTTCCCGACCTCCTCTCCAGCCCATAGCCTGCAGGCTCTTCCGGAAGAGCCCTTCCCCAAGACCTCCATGGACTGCTGGAGGAGCAGCTCTGCCTGGGAGCCAGGTCTGGGCAGAAATGAGAGAAAACGGCAGGCTATATTCTCCGCCAAGCGGGAAAAGAGGGAGAGAGAGAGAGAAAGAAAGCGAGCAAGAGAGCAGGGAGGAACCCATAGGCTGGCTCCCCCGCTTCCATTCCTGAGCTGATGGGCTCGAGATATAGCTTCAGAGGCAGAGAGAAGAAAGGGGTGTGTGGAGAGAGATGCGGAAAGAAGAGGACAGAAGACAGAGGCAAGGAGGGAGAGCGCCCACTCACTCACTCACTCGTCTTCTTTTCTTCCTCTTTTCCTCCCCCTCTTCCTCCCCCACCCCCTTTTCTCCACGAGGCACGACTTCCATGTTAGATGCCGTGGGGTTGTAGCCAAAGGACCAAAGTGTCGATCTGTTGCTTCCCTTGAGAGGGGTTTTACAAAGGAGGGGAAGGAGAAAGGAGTGGGGTTGGGGTGGGGAGAGAGAGGGAGGAAAGGGGGAAAAAAAGAGGGCCCATACTCTCGGCTTGTCAATTTCAACATTTGGTCACGTGACCCCCGCTGCCTGCCTGCCTCCCCTGTTCTAAGGACGGGGATAGATTTCCACGTCAGCTTTACGTCTCCCAATTTCTTCCTCCGCGGATCGGCTTCAAAGAGGGCAGCCTGCGAAGGCGAGGAGGGAGGGAGAGAGGGAGAGAGAGGGAGCTTGAGAGAGAGAGAGAGAGAGGAGCATCCTCCTCCTCCTCACCATGTGAAGCGGGGCTCATGAGGCGGCCAGCTCCAGGTAGCCCCCCAAGCCCTCCTCCTCTTCCTCCTCCTCCTCGGCAGCCTCAGCATGGATTTTGACGAGCGCGTCCCGTGCTCCTCCAATATGTACCTTCCCAGTTGCACCTACTACGTGTCGGGCCCCGATTTCTCCGGCCTGCCCTCCTTCCTGCCCCAGACCCCATCCTCACGCCCGGTCACCTACTCCTACTCCTCCAACCTGCCCCCGGTCCAGCCGGTGCGCGAGGTCACCTTCCGCGAGTATGCCATTGACCCCACTGCCAGCAAGTGGCACCCACGGAGCAACCTCGCCCACTGCTACTCGGCGGAGGAGATCATGCATAGGGATTGCCTGCCGGCTGCTAACTCCTCCTCGGCAGCGGCGGAGATGTTCGGGAAGAATGCAGCGGCAGCCTACCACCACCACCATCATCCCGCCACCTCGAGCAACACCTCCTCCAATTTCTACAGCGCGGTGGGCAGGAACGGGGTCCTCCCGCAGGCTTTCGACCAGTTCTTCGAGACGGCGTATGGCACGGCGGAGAACCCTTCGGACTTTGCAGCGGGAGGAGGAGGCGGCAGTAGCAACAATGAAAAGAGCGCCGAGAAAGTCCCCTCAAGTTCGGAAGTGGCTTGCGCCCGAGAAGCCCGAGAAGGAGGACCCAACAACGCCAACGCCGCCTCCTCCTCGTCCTCAATGGGGACCCCGGAGGACAAGGAGCGGCGCCAGAGAGCGGAGAGCAAAGGCGGCAGCAGCAACAGCAGCAGCCCGGCCTCGTCTTCCGGCAACAATGAGGAGAAATCCAGCAGCTCCAGTACGTATTATAACTAACGCAAGGCAGCGCCCTCTCTCTCTCTCTCTCCCTCTCTCCCCGGGTTTGTGTTGTGCTTTTTTTTGAAAGGAAACTTGGAAATCTTTGCGCACCGCCGCTGTTAAATTTTTATATGCTGTTTTATAAGCATATAAGGTTTATGAAGGGCCCTTTAGGTTTCCCCCAACAAAAAGAGGCGAGAGATCACGTGGCGAGGGCTGAAATTGGCCGTGAAAGGCCCACCGGCCAATGGAGGGCCTTTTAAAACACAAAAACACCAAAAAAGCCCCCCCCCCCTTAAAAATCATAAAAGGAGGAGAATAAAGGAAAGGGGGGAAGGGGGGATGTCTATGGCGAAAGCCTCGAAAATATAATAATGCGGGTTTGGAGCCTGTAAATGTGCCCAAAAGGGGATAACAGAGCTCTTTGATATCCATGTAATCCCGTGCCTTTTTAATTTTTTTCTGTATTTTTATAAAAGCCATGTGTTGCCCCAGAAGTCTAGTTAAAGGCTTGGATTCAAAGCCATCCCAGGATTTTTTAAAAGAGTGTTCAACAGATAAAGTAGCCGCCTGCACTGTTAGCAATATGTGAAAAGCAACAAATTAACCTAAAGCTGGTCTTCTTTTTTTTTTGTCTCAAGGAAGCCATTTTCCTAAAACACTGGGATCATTACATGTTGTCTTTTCCCCCAACAGTTTGTTACTTAAGGGATCTGTCACAGGTTTTATATATATATATATATATAGAGAGAGAGAGAGAGAGAGAGAGAACTCATATATATATATATATATATATATATATATATATATATATATATGCCTTTGATTTAGAGAGCTCCTTTATTTATATTTTAAAAGAGTTCTTTTTAAATAATTTATTTTAAAAATCCCATTTTCTCCCTCTAGAAAAAGGCTATGAAAACAAATCTGATTGTGAAGTGTAAAAGTAAAGACTGGTTATTAATTAATAATACTGTTTTTTAAAGGATGCCAATAGTGCATGTTTTAGACTCCTGTAAAATGTAAATGGGGGATAAAATAAAACACTCCCTTGGGGGGGGGAAAACCCCCTAGTTCTGCTTTTAACTGGGACAGAAAGGAAGTGGTTTGGGGATATGTAAAGAAAGGGGATGATACTTGTTAAGATAAAATGGCAAATTCCATAAATGATCCTGATCTAATGGTTATCATAGGCGCTGGTCCTCCTGTTTGCAAAGAGAGCGAAATGCCCTCCAAAAGCAAAACCAAGTTTAAGATTAACCACAGGTTCAATGTACAGGAAAGCGCTTTCCCTAAAATAATGCCCTTTGTGGTGGGAGGGGGGATGTGGGTCACAAAGCCATTGGGATTGCCATGGCTTTTGTGGAGGGTGGGCTGCAAAACTCGGTTGAAAAGGACCCATGCTAGGCTCCAAGGTGATTGTAGCAGGGCCTCTCCAACCTTCCTGCACACACCCCTTCCCTAGGAGGAGGCTTCTTTGCAGTCTAGACATGGTCCATTTTGCTCCATTCACGAGGGCTTCCAAGGGCTACAAAATTCATTTGGTGGCTGAAAAGGCCCTCTATACCCCTAAGATTGCACTGGAAAGTCCCATCTTAAACCCACTTGCGAGGGATTGAGCCCCATTGATTCTGTGATATCTCTTTCTGAGTGAACTTGCACATGAAATTGCCTCTGTGGCCTTATTGTTTGAAGTGATGCTTCAGCATGAAGCACAAGTCTGGCAAATCACAACCAAAGCTTATATTCAGTTTGCACAGTTGCTTCCTAGGAGAGAACCTCACCACTGTGTACCTATGACTAAAGCAAGTATTTCTTTAAAGAAAAATAAAGAAAATACCCACATCAATAGTTTTTTGATTAAATATTAACCTCAGCCCTCTTCCAACCATATCTGATTCCAGACTGAATTACTTCTACTCTTCTTTTATTTTTGCTATTATTATTATTATTATTATTATTATTATTATTATTTTACTGACACAAAACCATAGTATGTCAGAGCAAACGAGATCTATATGCTGGATTTCATCGAACACTTCTCAAGTGTCTAGGACTGTGTGACATTATTATTATTATTATTATTATTATTATTATTTCCTTCCACAGGTGGACAACGCACCCGTAAAAAGAGATGCCCTTACACCAAATATCAGATTAGGGAATTAGAGAGGGAATTCTTCTTCAGCGTCTATATAAACAAAGAGAAACGCCTCCAGCTTTCCCGAATGCTCAACTTGACCGACCGTCAAGTCAAAATATGGTTCCAAAACCGAAGAATGAAAGAGAAAAAAATTAACAGGGACCGATTGCAATATTACTCAGCTAATCCACTACTCTAAGAGAGAAAGAAAGAGAGAAAGAAAACAACACAAACCTAAACTTGCATTGAGTTTTTTCCCCCCAAGATGAGATTAAATTCTGATCTCGCCCTTGACAAGGTCAAGCCACAGGGTTACCTAAAATAAGGAGGTGTGTAAAGCCACGGAGGAGGAGGACACTGGAAAACTGAAATTTCATTCCCACCCGGCCCTCCCGAAAAACTAAACCAACGAGTGATTTCTTCCCCTACTTCCCCTACTTTCTTCTCCTTTGGAACATTTCCTCCTCTTAAAAACCTTGACACACATTATCTGGAATCGGTTAATGCCTTGGAGCCACATTTTTCCAAATAAGCCATTTGAATCTTTTGTTGCAACCCGTTCTAACAGCGGTTTATCACATGGAGGAATGGTGGTTCCACACCACTACATTACCTTTGTGGTTTAAATTTTGTATTTTTTTTTACTGTGGATCACTGGTTGGAAGGCTACTCATGGCAACCTACAGACCTGAGGACTACTACTAAGGATACCATCAGACATTCCGCCATCTTTCTTTCCGCACCCCAACTGGTGGCCTATCATCCTTTCCAGATGGCATATCTTCTTCCACAAAAGGGTTTACCTATCCTAGCCATTCCATTTTGTAAACTTACAAACACTTTATAGGGGAAGGGGGGTTACTTCTTTCTTTGCAAGGCCAATCATAAATGTGAGTAAAGCCGTAGTATGGTGTCTCACTACGTTGTGTTAGGGCGTGAGAGATCTGACTCTTTCCTTTTGAAAGGATTTTCAGGTATTAATTTGCCATATATGGTAAAGGAACAATCACGGAAGAAACAGCAATTACCCTGGACATTGCACAGATTTATCAACCCCACTTGCCTAGTTTCCAACAGACCTCACAACCTCTGAGGATGCCTGCTATAGATGTGGGCAAAATGTCAGGAGAGATTGCTTCTGGAATATGGCCATACAGGCCGGAAAACTCACAGCAACTCAATTATCCATGTGAACTAGGTTTGGTTTTGTAGTGAGTGATCTTGGTAGAAAAAGAGCGGAGACAAATCATGATGCTCAAACCTAAAGGCTTAACATGCAGATATGTATATTATACACATACACACACAACAGAGCCTTTGCAAACGTGGGGGAGAGGAAAGGAAGGAAGAAAGACTAATTTAATAGTTTCAGTTTTTTTCTAAACCAGCAAAGGAAAGGTTCTGGCTTCTGTCTCACCAACTTTCTTCAGGAAATACCTGTGGAGAAGGACAGTTTTTGGCAAATACCACACAACACTTAATTGGACCTTCGGATGTGTGCAATGCACTGAGATCAGATCATTAAAATTACTAGCATTTCCTTAGAAGGCCAACCAGGAGGCCAACAATGTAAATAGGCTGCGTTTGTGTTTTTCCTATCTTGTTGTCCACTCTGAGTGTCGTCAATCCTACTTAGCCGCCCAGGCGGCAGAATCAAAGAATGGAGAGTTCCTTGGAGTTATTTTAAATATATATATATAAAGAAGTATATTTCCCTGCAGGAACCAAAGTGAATGAGAGGGGGAGAGAAAAAGTAAAAAAAAAAAAAACACGAATAAAAAAAGAACTATTTAAAATTCTATGATCAGTTTACAAAGGAGATGTGTTTTATTGCAAAGGTCACTTGCTGTTGAGGATATCTGAATGTATATTTCATACAATAATAGTGTTTTACAAGACTTGTACATTTTTAAATGATTTTTTTGTTGTTATACTTTTTAAAAGAAAATTTTTTTCATGGGAGGTGTCAGGATTTTTTTTTCATTGTTGTTGTTGTTTTTTAAAGAAAATAATAATAATGTGCAGGGCATGAATGTTGTTTTTTTAAATCACCAGCTTGTGAAATGGACACAAATTTCTTTACACAGTTCACTCCAAAAATTTGCAATACCTTTGTATTCCATCACTGTTTGAAATATGTACCATCATATATGTATATATGGCTTTCTTTTTAATATGCGGGTGTCTTTTGTTGCATGTGTACAGTGGAATGGCACACACCGAAAATAAACATGTGGGAAATTTAATTTACTTTTTACATCATCCTTCTGTTATAGTCATGGGTATTATCTGATCTGGGCTGGGTATCTGATCTGGGCTGGGGATTTGAATCCTGACTTCTGAATGTGATGCTTTAGTGGAAATCCCATGTGCCTATTGTTCCTCTTCAGGTCTTGATAAGCCAGTGCAACATGTCTGGAATGTATGAATGCGTAGGCGGGGGTTCAGTTAGGAGGAGACCAGGTTTGTCTAAACTGAGAAGAAAAATCAAAGTAATGGGAGGTTATAGACATTATACTTTTGTTCACAGGCGCAAAATGCATTAGGGAAGCTCACACGTTGTCTGGATCTCAGGTGCCATTGTTTCCTTCCAACTCCATATTCCTGAACGCATACAGCTCCAAACCTAAGGAGGGTTTTTGTGGCAGAATTTGATCGTCAACACAGCAATTGTGGCCAAGCTGAAGCATATTGGTTGAGACATGTTTGGGCCTATGAGTAACTCTTAGAGAAAGAGCTTTCTACCAAGACCATGGGAACCTGGCAGGACTGAGTAGTGAGATATTGGCCTTCATCTTTGGAAAGCTGAAGGTGGCAGATGGTTACTTTTTGAAAGAAAGAGAATGATCCCAAGGCCTTTGCAAGCAAGAGGCATTAGGCTGAGTTTCCTTATCTTTGTTTTGTAACCCCTTTCCATTTTTTTAATTAGAAAAGAAAGTAGGCACCATTTTTGCCCTGTTGTTTATTGGCTTTGAACTTCCGTATTGCTTTGGACATCACCCATAACCTTGAGGTGAAGGGCTAACTGGCTCTGGCCTCTTGCTGGCCACCCCCACCTACCCAGACAGTGTCTGGCCAAAGGAAATGGAGGGAGATGGAGGGGGGAAAGAGAGGGATTGAGAGGGAGAAAGAAAGAGAGAGAGAAGAGCTGGCTGGCTTGTTTGTTTATTTTGCTGGCATGCTACAAAGGAATGCGAGGCTCTTAAAAGGGAGAGATAGAAAGATAGATGGAGAGAGGCAGACAGAGAAAAGACGGGTGGCCATAAACGTTCAGCTGGCCACTTCCTCTGCTAGTTAAAAATTAACTGGTTATTCAGGGCTAGCCTGAGTCATGGGGTTTCTCTACTTTGTGGAGGGGCTGCTGCTGGTGATTTGCTGGCCTGTGTTTTTTTTTTTTTAAGGGAAGTACATCCCGTGTGTTGCTGGGACAATGGAGTCATAAAAGTCCCCACGACTTGGTGCATTTGCATACAGGAGGGAAAGCTGAGCTATAAACGAGGCGGAAGGTTTCAGCCTTGGTTTTAGCTGAGGAGGGTGCCAAATAGCCCGGGTTAGGAGCCTTCCTCTCCTCTGCCTTGGAAAGCAGGCCTGGAGAAAGCTTGGCTGCCTTGCTAAGGCACCCGGTGGCCACGAGATGGCGCCCTTCAGATCAATGTCAAAGCCGCAGTGGGAGAAAAGGGGGAGGGGGGGGGGGGCGACGAGTGAAATCTTGGCCTTTGTTCCTTTCACGTTGTATGGGCTGCACATTATATTATTTCATTTTCCACGGTCAGTTTTGCAAAAAGGTAAGGCAAAACCCTGCGGCTCCCTTCTTGCAGTGGAAGTTACCCAGAAACTTGGCTAGTTTGGGTTGAGACCTCGACGATGGGTGAGTATTCCCTTTTGGGGGTGAAAAAGGAAAACTGCGTTACCCAAGTCCACCTAGGTCAGGCATGGGGAAACTTCAGCCCTCCAGGTGTTTTGGACTTCAACTCCCACAATTCCTAACAGCCGGTAGGCTGTTAGGAATTGTGGGAGTTGGAGGTCCAAAACACCTGGAGGGCTGAAGTTTCCTCATGCCTGACCTAGAGTGACTTGGATGGATTCTTGGTCCCGGCTTTTTGATTGTTTACTTCCATTCCTCTCCTTTGCATGAATCTCTTAGTCTGGGAGCAATCCTCTTTGAGGAGTCCAGGGGTTCAATCGCGTGCCATTGCATGAATTGTTGAAAGGCTTTTCTGTTAACGGGAAAAGAAGAAAAAAAACTTTTCATTAAGAAGTTTGGCAAACAGTCTAACTAGGTGATGGTTAAACAATCTCGAGCCAGGCCGGAGGCTCTCTGTGTGACAGTATGCGTGTGTGTTAAGAACACTCATCCATCTCTGAGAATATTATGAACCTTGACGTTTATGTGGAGACGGCTTGGTGTCTTCTATCAACTAGATCTATCTTGGCAGAGGCTGGGGATGGCAGGGATTCTTGATGGCCTTATTGAATGTGAGGCTACTCTTTTCGCTTTGGCATGGCTCAGGGGCCTACGAAGGTTGATTCACAGTGTTTGTTAAATGCCTTTTTTCCCCTGGAGAGGTCAATTCTTCCCTCTCTAAAGAGGAGGTAGAAATCGATAGGACTGAATATGGTACGAAAGGCTGTTTTACTTAATACCTCTCCTCAGTTTCATGTTGAACCAGGTCTTGGGTGGAGGCTGCATTTAGAACATCTGTATTGATCTAGGCCTATCGACCGGGAGGGAGTCATTCTGAGAGTGAAATCAAGTTTGAAAAGCTGTAGCTTAGTAATGCATTCCTGATCCTAACCACACTGGGATGGCCCAAGTCTCCTGCCCTGAGACACTGACTTGTCTACACAGTGTCAAACCGGCAGAGAAGAAAGCGGTTAGGGCATGACTCCATGTGAAGTCACGTTTCAAGGCCACGGCAATGCAAGTATGTGGATCTCGGGAGCGCCATACAAAGTTAGGCCTGCTGATGCACATTATGACTTCTATTTCTGATTATCGTCCCGATTTTGCTTAATATCCTTGTTTGAAGCCCTTGTTGTACATTTGCAGCTTGAAACATCTATTTCGCAGTATCATAACTTCATGGTTGTGGAGATGTGATCTGAGGCTGGATCTACACTGCCCTATGTCCCAGGATCTGATCCCAGATTATCTGCTTTGAACTGGATTAAATGAGCCTACAATGCCAACTCATCTGGGATCAGATCCTGGGATATAGACTAGTGTAGAAGCATAACCTTGGAAGCTCAGGCCAAAGCCTCCTTGAACTCTACAAGGATCTGAGATTTTATGTTTCACTTTGGTTGAAGTGAGGCGTGTTCAAATGTCCGTGGATCGTGTCCGCTTCCCAGTCCCGGCACCAGCTTCGATTTGTTTATTTTTTAGCTTTCTTTCCCCGTCGTGAACCTGATCTGGGGTATCAAATGCAAAGGGCGAAGCACCTAGGCGAGTCGAGAAGGAGCATTCCTGATTTCTTAAGGCAGGCGACGGGCTGGCCTTGTGATATCGCCCCTCTGTGTAAACAGAGGAGGAGAACAGATCCTGGTAGTGTTTCCTCGGGCCCTGCCTTTGAAGCGCCTGGCCGTGGCATTAACTCGCTTCGCTCGGCCCAAAGTGTGCCTTCACTTAAAAGCCTCTGGGTTTGTAATTCCTCTTTCTTCCTCTTCTTTCTTTCTTGAGAGCGATCTATTGATAAGTGAGTTTTGAAGTCCAGTGTCGAAGTTTTCCTCGGTTAAAAATGGATCTGGAGTGCAGTCGGCGGGGCGATTAAACACTCCACCGGAATTTTTCATGGTCAAAACGACCCGATTCATATCTCCCTGGAAAGGAAATGGATGGCAGGTCAATTTTCCAGGGATTCTGTAACCCATCTCCTAATCACCTGACCCATTCTCTCCTGCCCTGAGTCGGTTAGAATAGGACCTCCTTCTCCTGGGGAGAGATACTGGTTCTACAAAATGTGAAATAACACGTCCCCTGAACCAAAGAGTTCTCTAAATATATGAAAAGATAGGTTTCATACATCTCCCCCCTCTCTCTATATATAGATGTATGAGTTCTCTAAATATATATGTTTAAAGGAGCTCTCTAAATCAAAGGCCTATCTTTATGTGTGCGTGTTCGTTCTCTCTCATATGTGTGTGTGTGTATATATAAAGGAGCTATTTAAACCAAAGGCCTATCTTTATACAGTATATGTGTGTATTCTCGCTCTCTCTATAATATATATAGGGGCTCTCTAAACCAAAGGCCTATCTTTATGTGTATGTTCGAGCTCTCTCTCTAGTATGTATGTATGTGTGTATATATATATATATAGGCGCTCTCTAAACCAAAGGCCTATATGTGTGTGTCTGTTCTCTCTCATATATATATATATATATATATATATATATATATATATATATATATGAGAGAGAGAGAACAGACACACACATATAGGCCTTTGGTTTAGAGAGCGCCTATATATATATATATACACACATACATATATATATGTATATATATATGTATGTGTGTATATATATCTGGAGCTGTCTAAACCAAGGGCCTATATTTTCATTCATATATATATGTGTGTGTTTTCTCTTTTCTCTCTCTCTCTCTCTCTCTCATATATATATATATATATATATATATATATATATATAGGAGCTATTTAAACTAAAGGCCTATATTGATATATGTGTGCATGTGTTCTCTCTCTCTTTTATATATATATAAAGATAGGCCTTTGCTCCTTATATATATATATATATAT